CAGTTGTATCCAACATCTTCAAATATTTTACTATGTAATTTTACTTTTCAATTATTAATTTCTACTGAAGTAATTGTGTTTTCAAAGTATTATTTCATGAGCAATTTAAATTTCATCATTAACTCCTCAACAGGTCCATTATATGAATGTATATCAAGCATTGTAAAGTATAATTTTAATATTTTCTGGGGTGTTGGACACACATGAAAAAATGTTTTAAAATACTAGATATATCTGAAAAAATACTTTAAGGTGTCAAACGTATCACAAAATAATTTAAAGTGTGTTCGACAAAATGCTTCAGGTGACACTTTAACACATAATATATGAAGAAGACAATACTGTCATCCAATCATATAAAAGTAACAAGCTCATTTTTTCTGGACACACTAAACAAGCTCATTTTGATAGGCGGAAAGGTGACATCACTGGGTTTCAATATTCTTAATTAAAACATTAAGGGTGTTGAACGCACCTGACGCACTTAACACAGTATTTTAGAGTGCCAAACATATTTGGCAAAATGCTTCAGGATGACACCTTAACCCATAATATATGAAGAAGAGTATAAAGTAACAAGCTCATTTTTTTGGGGAACGCCAAACAAACTCATCTTGATTGGCGGACAGGTAACATCACTGGGTTCTAATATTATTAATTAAAACTTTAAGGAGCTTAAATTTAAATTTTGAAATATCAGGGGATTATACTAACTCAAAGTTTAATAGGATTTTACACATTATGGTATAAATTTATTAATCTATATTAGCTGTAATTTCATCCTCATTAATTTGACGTTATAATTTCCTCTAGTAAGTTAACAGTATAAGTAACAACTAACAACAGGACTATTAATGTTAAAAATTAAAATTTCAAGAAGATTAACTTTAATTTTGAAATGTTAGGGGGATTCTGTTCAACTTACCTAAAATTCATGGGGATTACATGTTCAATATTCTCCACAATTTGCAATGGACATCACTATAATTATTATCTCTTATAACAAATCTCAAGAGATACCTCACTCTTCAATTTCTGCTCAATTAGACACCACATTTTTAATTTGTAAGAAATAACTCACCCTGACTTTACATTAACAATTATTAAAGAAAGATTTTCACTCAAAAACACTTTCTAAAAACTTCAGTACATTGAAGCTTAACATACTCAAATGAATAAGTTATGGCTAGTTAAGGCTCATGATGGTTTTTTTTTCCCCCGGAATAAATGAAGTACGTAAACATTGAAAGCACTCATATTAAGTGTAATATCCCTAATTTAAGCGTAAAAGTGCAAGAGATAGTATGAAATGGATAGGCTATCAGACTTCTTTTGGTAGAAGTCCCAGAAATTTTCTGAAAGCATAAAATGATTCTCATAAACCAAATTGCAAAGTAAACGTTTTCTAGTACTGAGAAACAAGGAAGATGGAGACTCCGATGAAGTCTCAGGGACCGATTATAAGAAATTAAGATGATTATAAGCCAAAAGTCATGTTAAAGTTCTTAATGAGATGATTCTTGAGGTTACATTGTGGCAAGGACCAAACCATAATTTTGACAAGTTTGGGGGCGGAAAGGATAACAATGAAAAATATGTTCGAAATTTCAAAAAACTTTTAGAAAGTGGGAATGAGGTATAAAGGGCCATTTGAGATTGAAAATAACGAAAATATCCCGAGAAAGAATTTAAGAAATTTTTAGAAATTCGGCTAATTATGGGAGTTTTAGCTAATTAGAAAAAATTAGTCAAAATCAATTATTTTAATTATATGAAAGCCTCAAATAATCTGACAAAAATAAAAGAAAATTAATTTGGAGATTATTATTTTCTACCATTAAAAGTGAAGAGGTTGACTTTAAAAAAATCTAAATCCAAATTTCCCAAAAAAGGTACCTGGAAAATCTTTAAAAGAAATATCTACGGGTTGAATTTTTGTCTAAGAGAAATTAGAAAATTTTCTCATAATAAAAAGGAGCTAGTGTAGTAGAGGAGTGAATTTATAGAACTAGAAAACATAAGGAAGCGTTGGTCAAAGTTACAGTGGAATAAAGTAATTTGACATTTCCTTTGAGGAACAAAAACCCTAAAGGCACTTTTCACCTAATTTTTGTCATCATAATATCACATAAAGCCATTTATGGTAAGAGAACAAATTTTAGTATTATTGGGTAAGCCAGGACCCAAAAATACCTGATATGGTACAATATTACAAGATTGATGAAAGAATAATCTGGAATTTATTTTTGGACATTTCTCTATTTTCTTTGCATTATTGGTGCCATTTTTCATGAGGAGATAGTATTGGAATTTTAGCATTTGTCAAAAGGCAAATTAGAAAGAAATTGTCATGGAATGTTACTATTTGTTAAAAAGCAAAATTGGAAAGAAATTACCTTCTAGGTAAAATCACGTGGTAGCATGGAGACGATGACACATGGCAATGGTAATTTTTTCCAACTTTGAGGGAAAAGTAAGGTCCTTGAACTTACATGGAGGCTTGAAAAAGATGACACATAACCATTATAATTTTGTGTAAAATTGATGGCAAAGCAACTTAAGAGGCATTATAAATACCCCCATGCATGAATGTTTTAGCCAAATTGAGAGGAGAGGAGGGTAAATTTTGGCTCTAGAAAAGAAGAAGAGCAAGAGAACTTAAGCAAATTCAAGCTTCCATACAAGGTAAAATAGTAAATTTTGATATAGTTTATGATGCTCTATATATTACAAAGTTTGGTTATGATTTTTGATGAGTTTTGGAAGCATAAAATCCTATGAAAAGGTCCTGTCCAATGTTGATTAAGTTATGGAAAGGATTGATTGAAGTTAGATTAATGATTAAGAGAAAGAAAAGAGTAGTAATCAAGTGGTTTTGTGATGAAATTAGAAAGAATCCACCTTCCTCTTAACCTTTGTATAATTTTGGCCAAGACTAGAGTTTGAGTTAGGATTAAATTTTGATGATTTTGATATTTCCAATGTGTTTAGAATGAATAATTGTTTAGGGTCCAAGCGAGAAAGTAAATTTAAAAACATTAAAATTGAAAATGGAATATTGTGCTAAAACCCTATATGTTTTGGCTAAAGCTTGTTCATAGAAAAGGAGTTAGATTTTGAGCTTAAAAATGGATTTTACATGCAAAATTATGTTAAAAAAAAAAGCATGTGGGAATTATGTTAAGAAAGATGATATTAAAACCCCAAAAATCAAAGATAAGGGTTAAGGGTTTATATTGAATTATTGAAGTTGTTTTGAATTGATACTTAGAATACTCCTATTACATGATGAATAGGAGTTGAGCATTGGCAAGAAAGACCTCCAACCCAAGGGAGAAGAAGCAAAAATCAAGACTTAGAACAAGGTAGCAAGAACACATAACTTTAATGTTAACTTGCATTAGTTATTTGTTGTGTTTTATGTCATGATGTGGTTGAGCTATTGCTGATGATGATGGTATGTGCTAAACTCTTTGCATTTGATACCTTGGCAATATACATGAATGAGCTTTTTTTATGGTATAAATATGTAGTCCCTTTTCATGGCATAATAGTTAATGTATGATATGTAATAACCTTATATTGTTGGCATTATTTTTATTATTCCTTGCTACTAAGATTCTTCCGAATCTCACCCTCCCTTCTTGAATCTCATCATCTCTTAATCAATCATAATAGGTATTATGCTTGTGGAAGAGGAATACAAGATGATGATTAAAAGAAAGAAGAGAAGTATTTGAGAAATGTATGTTACGTTATGTAATCCCTTATGTTGATGTATTCAAGAACATACCTATTGATGTTAGTTAATAATGAATGATGATGTTGACATGTAAAATTGAATACGATAATGCATGTGGATGATTAATGGAATGTTGGACTGATTGCATGCAAAATAGGGATTGTTTATAGCATGTTAATTTGAAGTAAGGGAATAAACCTTTTAACATAAAGCAATGTAATTGAGATAGAGCAAAAGTGAAACAAATGAACGAATTTACCCATAATATTTTATGAATAATTAGTGCACATCCTAAACTTCAAAATGAATAATAGATTAGATAAAATGGATGTGTGTGATAAAAGATATGATTTTTCAAAATTAGGGCAAAAAACTATAAAGTATTGTTTGACAAATGAATAGTATTCTTCATGTATTTTTCTGTATTAAATGAGTAAATAAATGACCCAATAGGTATTTGAAATAGAGACTTGAATCATCTTAATACAATTTTTTTATAATTAGTTATGAATTTTTAAAATTGAACCAAAAATCTGGAATTACCAAATGAATAGTACTTTGAGAATAAAAATATAAGTTTTTAATTTATAGATTTAATTTATCATTCGCTTGAACTGTAACGCTTCCGAATAAGTACTCAATGGAGGATGAAATGACGGATGTTTCATTAAGCATTTTGCAATCATTTTAACTTAGCAAAACATGTTTGAAGTGTTATATTTATAAGGAAAAATCTCTTAAAAAGACACTTAAATAACTCAAATTCTTATTTGAATCATTAAATTTGCCAAACTTCTAATCACGTGATATGACCAAAAAAAGATTTTAAAATTTTATGAAATAACTTTAATGCCCATTTTATCAAAAAAAAAAAAGAAGAATTCTAAATTAACATATTTCATTTTTAATTAATATATTTCAATTTTAAATACTAGGTCATGCTACGTATATAGTAATAGTTTGGACTTTTGTTGCAGGTTTTGACAATGTCAAAATCTGTTAAAATCACCTATTTATTATTTTAAAATTTAACAGATATTTTTTTAATCATTTTTTCTATTTATATACCTCTTCCAGCTATTTCTAATTTTGGGAAAGAAATTTTGAATTATCAAACAGTGAAACCCCCCCCCCCCCCCCCAAAAACCCCCCCAAAAAAAAGTTCCACCCTCCAAAGCTGGGAAATGGGGACAAATCCATCCGCACTCTATTGCCCGCATCTTTTTTTGAATATCCCAATTTTACCCTTCGCCCCTTTCTGTTTTTCTCAACCGCTCTTTCAGGCGCTGTTCTCCTCGTCGCCGCCACTGCACCTGCCGCACCCACCGTTGCCACCTGAACCCTTGTAGCCGATCGTCGCCTCCGCCATCGTCTGTGTGAGCCTCGTCCAGTCGTCCTCGAGACCTCGACCCAGGTGAGCTCCGTCGTCTCTTCTTTGCTCTGAATCTTTTGGACAAATCAAGGCGCCGCCGTCATGGGTCTGTGTTAAATTTACTCAGATAAGGAATAATTATATTCGTTCATTCTTAATTTTATTCTTTTACTGGTTCTGTACTAAGGCAGCTGTGTTGGTGATTTTCTTCAAACACCATGTGCAAATATGATTCTTAACCTGAACGCAAATGTATACTGAAATCATGTAAAGGCGTGAATGTCATGTGTTATTTATCACCGAATGTGTTTGGAGGTCAATGACACTTCAATCTGTGCCCTCTCCTCTATGCCCCTCTGCATCCTCCTTTAAATCTCTTCATCTTTTTGCCATTTTTTTAATATCGTGATGTACTATTCCCTATAGGTGAGACAATGAAATCAGTTTAATGTACTCTATCTTGTTGGCAGAATGGGAAGTACAGTGGAGGATTGGTCGCAATATGGAATTTCAATGGAGGTGAGTGTCTGCAGTGCTCATTACTATTTTTTTGGCCAAAAAAAAAAAAACTATTGGAGTCAGATCAATTGATTAATGAAAACTCATGTTTTTCTTCCAGGAAAAGGACAAGCTTGTTGGAGAAGTAATCCGTTATATGCTTTTTAAAACTCATCAAAATTCAGGGTGCCCAATTAAGAGAACTGAGCTTACTCAACTGGTTACAAAAAACTATCACCAGCGTAACCTTCCTGCTTCGGTGATAAATGAGGCCAAAGAGAAGCTTTCAACCATATTTGGCTATGAAATGAGAGAGCTTCAAAGATCTCAACCTTCATCCAAAAACCAGGCACAACTTTCTCAGCAAAGTGAGAAATGAAGTTGTTCTTATTTCAGTTTAGATCATCCAAGGCTTTGACAATAGTCACCCTCTAGAATCCCAATATTATTTTCAGTGAAATTTTAATGAATGATTTGAGAAATATATGCAAACTTTATGGAACCACTAAATGGGCCTTTTGCTTTTTAATCTTATGATGCATGGGCTTGGTTGCTATTTTTTTTTTTAATGCATATTTGTCATTGATCATGTTGGCTTTTTCAGCATTATGGATCATAATGCCTTAAAATGAATTTTGATTGTTAAAAGATTATGTGGTTTCCTTTTTTATTAATGGTATTAAACTATAGCTATGAGGAAGTATATTTTATGCTTGGTTTGAGAACATAAACTGACGTTGATACTTTTACCTTTGATAGGTGTATGACCAGTTTTTATTGATATTGCAATAAGTTGTGCATATATGGTCAAAGGAAGGGGGGAAAAAACAAAACAAAAATTTGACCTTGTATAGGGGTATATATATGATCAGTTTTTGTTGATATTGTAATAAGGCGTGTACATATCGTTAAAGAGAAGCAAGGGGGAAAAAGAAAAAGAAAACCGTAATGCATTCCTTTTACCACGTCAAATCTGTCTGTAGTCTTCTCCTAGTTATTAATGCCCATTTCTCTAATTATACTTGCATGCTTTCTTCCAGATGTTGCTGATTCAAAATCCTATGTCCTCATTAGTCAGCTGCCTCCCAATGTATATAAAAAATATGTTGAAGATGTAAATACTGCACATCTGACTGGTTTCACTTTTGTCATTGTTAGCATAGTGCATCTTGCAGGTGGGAAAATTCCTGCAGGTATGATTGCAAATTTAGTCTCACAATTTATTTGTGCATGCATAAGTATATAGTAGACTTTTGATTGTCAAATGCAACTATATTAAAGTGCCCAGATAGGTTAGATCACTAGATCAGGGCTAAAAGAATCTGTGAAAATATATGGTTCGGAATGCTACATGACGGACTTCAGTTTCTTCTTTATGATCAATGAAGTTAGTGTGTGACAATCAAGAAGTATTAGCGTTGCAAAGAATCTAGTCTGTCAGGATGGAACCAAGAGCTCAATTGCTTTTTTTTCCAGCGAAAAATAGAGAACAATATGATTGAGGTGATTTATGCACCTATACATTAACAAACAGTGGGTTTTCTTATCAAGGACCTAGTTTGATGTTCGCTTATCCAAACTGGGAATGATTAATATATGCTCTCATCTTGAGTGAGAGAATAGTATTCCTACTCTTTTCCCTATTTCCTTAATTTTTGGGGCTTATTTAAAAATACCTTACTCTTAGGGGTGCTATTGTAAATTTTCTTTAGCTCAAGGGTTATAAGGTGCCCATTAATTTTAAATGCATAATAGAAGTATCGATTCAATGATGGAATACAATTACTGCTTTTTCCCTCCCCTTCAATAATAATATTTTTCACCCGTTCATCTGCTTTGTTTGTAACCTGGTAGAACTCAATGCTCTGTAGAAAGTCTCTTTAGCCATATGAGGAGAATGGGTTTGTCTGAAAATCAAGAAAGCCATCCTCAACTTGGAAACGTGAAGCATGCATTGGAACTTCTTGTTCAGCAAAGGTGAGCATTGGCTTAATTTAGTGGTCTTTTACTGAGTTGTTTCAGTTTATGTTACGTCTACTTACCAAAGTTGATCTCTCAAGAGGAATGAAGTAACTCCTGGGTTATCGTTTCCTTCGTAGATATTTACAAAAGAGCAATGTCAATGGTCCTGAGGGCAATACTTTATTTTATGAGCTTGCCGAAAGAGCTTTAGATGGACCCGTTGGTGACAAGATCAAAGAATATGTATCTCAGGTAGTGTATACAAGTTTTTGTGGTCATTGTCCGTCTAATGTTTAATTCAAAGGCTTTTTTTTTTTTTTTTTTATAAAATTTTTATGAAGTGCTGTTATCTCTAAATGCTCTGTAGGATGTGGTTTATCTGTGATCACCCTTTGGTGTGCTGCTCATGTTTTTCTTTTGGATGCTTCTGTGAGATATGAATGTGGATTATGAATCATTGTTATTTGTTTGAAATCAAGTGTTTAAACTTTTAAATTCGTATTGTTGTTATCACGTTTATCCATCTTAAGAAGATGCCATGCTATTCATTCATGTGTTTCTCTTGTATCTTTGCTGAAGCTGAATCTTGATATTTTGCCTTGCATTAATGAAGTTAAAGGAATATTCCCTCACTCTAGGGTTTTGGTAGAAGGCTGATTGTCATCTATTGATGGAGATTTATTTTTCCTTTACTACTTTGGACAACTCATGCATTGAAATAAAATAGGACACTTTGAATGAGTAATGCAGTGTTGGTGATAGTATGCTATTTATTCTAATACTTTATGTCTTTAGAAAAATAAAAATAATACAGCTAAATTAAGTTGAATACTGTCTGTTTGTTGGATTCTTCTGATGTCACTTGATACAATAAACATTAACAACAATTCTTATGTAGATAAGGTTGACTATTTGGATTGCATGATACCATTGTGTTATATCAATAATGAGACTCATTATGATCCTTTGAATAAAGAAACTAGGTATTATCTTTGTTGTGGTATTGTAGTGGCAATTATTGGTGAAAAGGAGAAATGATAATTTAAATATGATTAAGGTATGCATTTAGTCTTCTAACCTTATACAAAGTTTCAGGATAGTCCTTTAACTTTAAAAAGTATATATTTGGTCCTTTAACCCTAAAATCGTATGACTTAAGCAATATTTTTTTAACAATCATAATTATTTTGAAAGTTAAACTTAATACATTAGCAATTGAAAATGTTTTATTAACATTTAAGATTTCAAAGTTATCATTTTTTTGCTGACAATTATAGGATTAAAAGATTAAAAATATATTTTTTAAAGTTAAGAGACTAAATTGAAACATTATATAAATTTAAAGGACTAAATGTATATTTTAGCATATAAATTTTATGCACTAATGAATTGAGCAAAGCTCTTTTCATCTATTGCATTGAACAGTTTTCACATTTTACAATACCCTCTGCAGTTCTAACAGAATGAATGCTTTCCTTGTAGATTGTGAAGAACGACAACAATTCAGTGGATGATGAATAGACTCAGTGTTCTGATAGAGAGAATTACATGTCTTTGACTAACTGCTGAACTCCAGGAGAATCTGGGTGTGCCTTTTTTGTCATGTTCAGCGAATTCATATATGTAAGAGAAAGATGACAAGAAGCTAGAGCATAATTTATTTGAAATTTAGTAATTAGAGTAAATTACAAGGCTTAAAACTTTTAGTCTCTTCCGCTTTACCTTGACCCCAAAGTCAAGAAGACTTAGCAATGGTTCGCTATAAATCACATTACTAGATCCATGTTAGATAAAAACCAAACAATCATAGAATGCTTAGCATTTTGCTGATGGGAGTTACATCGCTAGCGTTAGATCAAGATAATATTCGAGCAAGAATGGTTGGCATGAAGTTTAATAGTACTTCGTCAATCACCTTGTGCCATAATGGTACTAAATACTCTTTTAAGTGTCTTTTAAGCATGAAATTGTGGGTTTAACTCTTTGTGAATGTAGTGTATGTGAGTTTCCTTTACTGAATGAATGATGAAAATAACAAAATTGTAATAGTATACAACTACAATGTTCAAAATTTATTGGGTTTGTCAGGGTTGTTGAGAATAAACTGGTGCCATGTATTTTTTTCAAGTACTGATTTTAACAAGAGGTTGCGAGTTTGGCTTCTTTCAGTTATGTGAATAATGTCAAAAAAACCAAAAAGGTAGTTTAATCAGAATAATTTTAAATAAAGTATGTAAAGTGGTGTGGTTTTACATGACTTTTACTATTTAAAATAAATAAAAATAGTAAAAATCATAAAACACGTGAGGAGTCTCAACTTCAAGGTAGTAGACCTATTACAATTTTGGCAAATTTTCAAAACAGAGGTCATTGAAATATTTTTTCTACATAAAAAAAACAAAATGTTTAAAAACAATTTACTCGAATAAAATGATCTAATAAGAATAACAGGCATTAGAGATAGCAATGGCTTCATCCCGTGGCTCCGCAACACACGAATGTGTATGTCCATATTTGTGAGATCTTATATTAAGAAAATTAGTAAGTTACTTGATTATAATAAATATGTGTTGTCTTTTTTAAAATATCTTTACTAATGAAGTGTATTAACTAGAATTATCATTTGATCAAAGACTACATTGGAAAAAATAGATAAATATGAGAAACAAAATAGATAGAGATATTATATTTAAAATCAAATTAAAAGTTTATTCAGGATGATGGGTTAAAATGCATATTTATTCCAAAAGTTTATATTCAAGAGTGCTAAACACCAAAATGTTTCTTTGAGTACAAATTTGTCCCAGAAATTTGAAATCATAACAATATTACCCTATACCGTTAACAAATTAACATTGATAATTAAAATAGTGATGTTAATTGTCACCATTTGTGAAATTGCTACAATTTTAAATTTTCAAGACAAATATGTATAAAAAAAATTTAGTGCCCAATGTTCCTTAATAAAACTTCCGGACAAATTTACACCTTAACTCTAGAATGATAAAAAAATAAATTAAAAATGCAAAATCTCCATCAAACTCTGCATCTTTACAAATATCTTCTCAGCTTCGAAATTTCAACCCTTCCAACTTTTCTGAATAATAATAAAGGAAAAAAAAAAATATACACGATGTGTTAACAGCGACAGGAAGTACAACGAAAGGGAGCCAAGCAGGTAAAGTATACAATCCTTCCAACTTTCACAACACAAAAATGCTCCAGATTCCACCTAATTCAAGTTCAGGTGTATTTTTCAAATTAAGCTTCTCAAGATTTTGTTCCAGCTATATCTTCCAGTGTAAGGTTCAGTGTATCAACCGAACCTTTCTTCACATCTTCTCCGCGAGCAGCCAAGAAATCCTCAACACTTCCCGGTTCGCCGAACCACCCAAGACGATCGGCAATCAGGTGCAGATTATTACAGCCACCACATCTTGCCACCACCACACCTTTCTCATAGGATTCGCGACAAACTGTCTTGATGGATCTTGTTTCACAGACCTTACAGGTGAAAATCATAGCAAGATCATGCCTTGAGGATGTTTTCAAACTAGAGTTGGCAGAAAACTTTACAGCAGAACTCCTGGTACTGCTCTCTGGGTCAGAATTTGGCTTTAAGCTGACAGCTTCCTTATTTTCCGAATCTTCTTCACTTACATGGTTTGTTGGATTTGTGCGTGTCTGGACTCCCCTTTTATTAAGTCCATATCTGATTAATATTGCACTAATAGAAGAATGCCAAGAGGATGCTGCGAATCACCCAAAAAAAAGGTCAAATAAGAAAACAAACATGCAGTAGTAAAACAAGAAGATAATTAAAAGCCTTTTCTCTCTAGTTACCAAGATAATTCCTGAGCATCCTAGTTACCGGAAAAAAAAAACAATCTTAGGTTTATGTTGAAGTTTCAAGCTTTAAGTAGTTCAGATTATGTGGCATCCAAGTAACACTCTAGTATATAAACCAAATATCATTAGCTGACACATTCATAATTGATCCAACTTAACAGATCAGCCTTGCTTAATGGATACTTCGACCAAGAAAAACTAAAACCAGAAAATGTCAAAAACAATAAGAACAGAAATGAAAATTTTAAAAACAGTATTTCTGCATTTCAAGATGAGAACGCTTCTTAAAAGACTCTAGAGTACACATGAAATGAAACATGCATTAAAACCTAAGTAATTAACCATTCAGTTTAGTAAATATACTCTTTTCCCCCTCAGGTATCAAGGAAGACAAAAGGACAAACCTTGAGAGTTTGAGTTGCGAAGATACTGTCGTGAAAGAGGAAGACAAAAGGACAAACCTTCAGAGTTTGAGTTGCGAAGATACTGTCGTGAAAGGAATGGAACCAACTGCTGCTGCAATATCCTTGCCCCCATGGGAAGACTGCTGCAAAGATGTGAGCCGTGTCAGGGTTTATTTCCTCATTTGAGATTAGTATATCCCTAATTCTGTGGCTTTTTGACCAGAATACGACAAGAAATAGAATACAATAGAATACACATGAAATAAATTGCCGAATTCTAAAACACAGAGATAGAACAAGTAAAAAATAATTCACTCCTTTGTACTCAGCCACAACCCCTACATACAACACAAACGGCAAACACTTTCTAGTTTATTCCCTTTCATCAAACACTAATGCATGAGACCCGTGAAGACATTCCATTAGGATTCAAGAAGAGCATGAGACCACTTGCAGCTAATACCCATTTTATCTCCATAATACTATACTGTTAAGAAGAGACTAAAGTATATATTTGAATAATTCGTTGGGTTCTCTAATGAAAGTCTAAAGCTTCAAGAACAGGAACTGACCATAATATAGGGCATGGGCAGGCCTATATTACACTTAATCTGCTCCAACTGAAATCTTTGAAATATGAATAGTTGATACATTATCCTTTTAATTTTGTTCTAGATACTTTGACAAAGATGCCTTAGTGAGCCAATTGATTCAGGCAACCCCTCCAAGCCATTGAAGAATGACAATTTAGAATCATGCTTCTAAATTGAAAGACACGACTCGAGCCAAGTCATTTACCAGATTATGCATCACAAATACCTTGAAAATTTTCTAAATAGATGATAAGATAGAGAGATTAATAAACAAAATGCCAATGTCAACAAAGCAAACATTTCACGGCAGACCAATCCAAAGCATATAAGTCGTTAGTAATTAAATTGAAGATGGCAGAAGCATAATAGCGGACTACACACCACAGAAGCAAGAACTAGTAATAAAATTTTTTTAAGAGGAAAAACTAAAATCAATCTTTATTCAAAAGCGTCAGTATTCAAACGATTACACGACCGGATTCAAAGTAAGAAACAGTGCGACGGCGTCCGAAACAGTGCTGACAATAAAGCAGTAAACAGATGATGCGGTGGATGAATTCAAATATAAATATAAAGCCAGATTGAACAAGTTAATCTCACCGGATTTTGGCAGTAGACAAAGCCCTAGGGTTTGGACGTTATACAATACTTGCCCAAGAACAACGGCGCAGGGGTGACGATGGCGGGCGGCGTCCAACGGCGACCTCGACTCTTTTTTCTGTAACAACGATGGACCCCCCCCCCCCGCCGGCCCCGAGGGGTTATAATTTACAGGGAGAATTTCAGTTTAAAGACCCCTGTACACAATTTATTTTAAAGAGTCCCAAAATAATTCGAAAATATCGTTGTGGCACAAAAAGAGGAAAATGAAATAAATTTGAGAATAAAAAGACATTATTGCCCCTTATAATGCTTCTTTTGAAATTTGAAAACACAAGCATCAAAATTTCAGAACAACTTTCCTCTCTCACTTTGCTTAACGTTGTCCCAAAAATCTAACCCACCAAACATTCCCCTCTTCTAATCTGCAAAAACCATCAAACCCCAAACTCTTTCTTTTCTCACTTTGAAATCTTGCTCACACATTCTTCCCTTTTGAACTCTCAGAACTCGCCATCTGTCTACTGGTTGTGGCACTCTAAAAAGTCACGGAAGTCATCCAAAGAAGATTCATCGTCATCTATTGTGTTGGTTTTCTCACTCTCAAAACTCACATATGAATCTGTTATTAAGCGTGGATGGATCTATTATTTCTCCAATATGGAAAGTCTCTTGTTCTATGAGATACTTGATTGTTGCTTATTGTAGTAATAGTGGATATCTTGCCTGGCATATTTATAAATCTAAGAATCTTGTTGCTTGAATGGGTGATATGAAAGCTTTGATGTTGTCAAAATATGTGTTTGTATTGTAGATTTGCAAATTCGAGTGTCTTGGAAAATGATAATTTGGTATCATGAAAACTTGTATTTTTATTGTCAATTCGTAAATTCCTGTTGTAAATGTATACTTTGTTTAATTATTAAAAGTTGATTGAAATTGATACTTAAATGATGTGAGGCTATGGATTATAAATGGCGAGTAGTAGTAGAAAATAATTATTTTGTATTTTTCATGTGAGAGGTGAATTTGTGAAGAACTTATAACTGCCACTAAGTACTTGCCATCCTTGAAAGCCTAGAACTAAGAAAATTGAATCACAATTCTAGCAGAAGAAAATGTATCATTGCTTAAGATGTGATGAATCTAGTCACACTAGAAAATTGGTTGGCAACAATGCAAATGTATGAAAAATTTTGTTAACTTGCAAATGGACGTATTTCTGTTAGTAGTACATGTATCCCTATTACAATTTGCCTAATTCAATTGTGAATGAAACATCTAGGACTTATGCATGAACTTTTTATTTTAAATACTCCACTTGCAAATGGAGGAGATGTAGTTGGTAGTACATATATCCCTATTGCAAACTTTCTAATTCTAGTTGTGAATGAACACACACACTCCCAGACTTGTAATCAACTTGTCTATTGAACTAGTTCACTTGCAAATAGACGTGTTCTTATCTTATTGCAAATTCCTTATTTCCAGTCATGAATGAACACTCTCTCCTAGAATTGTGATTAATTTGTCAATTCAACCAGCTCACTTGCAAATGGATATGTTTTTGTTGTTAATATACGTATTCTTGTTACAAATTCTCTAATTCTAGTTGTGAATGAATACTTGCTCCCAGACTTTTGATCAATTTGTCAATTCAATTGACACCCTTGCAAATGGACGGTTCTTATTGTTAATATACATATTCTTATTGCAAATTTCTTAATTCCAATTGCAAATAGGTCTTCTTAGACTTGTGAATCATGTTCAACTTCTTCAATTCAGCTAACTCACTTGCAAATGGACGTGTTCTTATTATTAATATATGTATTCTTGTTGCAAATTACCTAATTCTAGTTGTAAATAGATCCTTCCAAACTTGTGAATCATGTTCAACTTCTTCAATTCAACTACCTCATTTGCAAATAGATGTGTCGTTGTAGTTAGTATATGTATACATGTTGCAAATTTCTTAATTCCAATTGTAAATAGAAGCTCCCAAACTTGTGAATCATATTCACCTTCTTCAATTCAACTACCTCACTTGCAATAGATAAGTTGTTGTTGTTAATATATGTATGCCTGTTGCAAATTTCCTAATTTTAGTTACAAATAGGTCCTCCTAGACCTGTGAATTAACATGTCCAACTTTTTAAATCAGATTAGTCCACTTACAAATAGACGAGTTCTTGTTGTTAATATGTGTATCTGTATTGCAAATTGCTTGATTTCACTCATGAATAATCTCTCCATTCTTGTTACATTATCATGTTTAACTTTTTAGTTACATTAACCTGTTTGTAAATGGATGAGTTTTTTAGTGAATTAGTTTATCCTTGTTACGGATTTCCTAATTTCAATTGTCAAGAATACATCACATACCTGTAAATTGGTAGGAAAAGAGTGAAGATTACAATTAATTGACATACAACATACTCATAATATGTATTTCCTGAAAAGAAAATTGTGAAAATTCTCTACACATAACCTTTAACATAGTCTCAAGTAGCTTAAATTACATGTCAAATAGAAAATATAACAATTTGCTATGTCATCAACTTCCTTTTCGGTTGTGTCTTTATCTGTTGAAGTAGTCTCGCAACAACAGTTGACTTCATATTTCTTTTATGAGTAAAGTTACTAACTTCACTTGTAAATACGTTAATTGTTGTTGTCAATATCCTAACTGTATGAGTTTACAATAGGAATTTACGAATCGACAATAGAATTACAAGTTTTCACAATACCAAATTGCATTTTAATTTCCTAGACAACCTGAATTTGTAAATTTACAATACAAATGCATATTTTGACAACATCAAAGCTTTCATATCACCTATTCAAGCAACAGGATTCTCAGATTTATAAATATGCCAGACAAGATACCCGTTATTACTATAATAAGCAACAATCAATTATCTCACAAAACAGAGACTTTCCATATTCAAGAAATAACAGATTTATTCAAGCCTAATAACAAATCCATATGCTAGTTTTGAGAGTGAGAGAACCAGTGCAACAGACGACAATGAATCTTCTTTGGATGACTTCCGCAACTTTTTAGAGCGCTACAACCAGCAGACGGACAGCGAGTTCTGAGAGTGCAAAAGGAAAGTGTGTGAGCGAGATTTCAAAGTGAGAGAGGGAAGAATTTGGGGTCTAATAGTTTTTGCAGATTGGGAGAAGGTAGTATTTGGTGAGTCAGATTTTTGGGAGCACGTTACGCAAAGTGAGAGAGGAAAGTTGTTATGAAATTTTGACCCTTCTGTTTTCAAATTTCAAAGGAAGTATTATGAGGAAAAATAGTGTCTTTTTTATTCTCAAACTTATTTCATATTCCCCTTTTTATACTACAGTGATATTTCAAAATTATAAAAGGCTTTTTGAAATAAATTGTATATAGTGGTCCTTAATTGAAATTTTTCCTAATTTATTGTATTACATCAAATAATATATATATAAACCCTTCATGCCAATAAAAGTCACTTATGAAGTAACTAAATATAACTAAATCTAAAAATTTAGCTCCAGTTTAAGAGTGAATTAGCATGATTTTGTAAATTAAAAACATAAAAGGAGTAAACTCGATGAGTGAACTCATAAGTTTGACTGAATTTACAGCTTACACAAGTTTAAAAGCGAGTCGACACGATTTTATAAGTTAAAAATGTAAAAACGTTAATGTGATATATGATATCATCAAAACCTCACTTTCTCTCTCTAAAGGCCGAAAATTTAGAGATTGGATGAAGAGAAATAAGAAAGTTTTAAAAAAACTAAATTGATTAAACTGAAGAGCAAGCTTAACTCTACAATTATACAAATTTCCTCGTCATTGAAACTATATAGTGCATGTTTGGATTGCCATTGGAAACGACAAAAGTGTTTTGAAAATGGTGAAACCAAGGTTGCAAATTGAGTTGGATAAAAAATGTTGTTTGACTATGCTAACTTTTCCAACCAACTTCCAGCCTTCAACCTCAATTGGACTCAACGGAGAAAAATCTAACTTTTCAAACTGCAGTTTCAAATAGTAATCATTAAAGAATAAAGCATCCTAGATTTACCCTCACATTTTTCCTTTTGTCTCATCTCCTTTGTTAGCGTAATGAGCTTTTATTCAGACCAAATGGATTTTAATTTATATTCATGTTTGTCTGTTATATATATTTAATTAATTATCTACAATGTGTTTTCAAATTTTTCTCCGTAACAAATATTTTTATTTTATAATTTCATAAATAAACTATTTATATTTTATCATAATAATTTTGTGTATTTTTTAAACTATCATCACATTAAAAATATAAAATTTCAAATACTTCTATTCAATAAAATCTATGCTTTTTTTAGTCATTTTACAACTAAACTAACTTTTCTATTAATCATCCAAACAACTTTTAACTTTTTTAATTGATTTTTTAAAAGCACCTATCTAAATATATTCTCAAACTTATTTCATATTCTCCTTTTTATACTACAGTGATATTTCAAAATTATAAAAGGCTTTTTGGAATAAATTGTATATAGTGGTCCTTAATTGAAATTTTTCCTAATTTATTGTATTACATCAAATAATATATATATATATATATATAAACCCTTCATGCCAAATAAAATTAGATTTTACATCCTGACATTAAAAATTATAATGAAAATTAAATATTGAGTAAATATTGATTTAATAGTTTCATAATAAGTAATAGTGTCTAAAAAGTGTAAACAAGGATAGTACTAGCTATTTCAAATAAATATAACTATGGAACTATAAATAATAACTTTTTTAAATAATTATAATTCTTAAAATATTATATTTTTATTGGTAATTACCACATTATAATAAGGAATCATACTTGTCCATTCAAGACCCATGGAACTTGGTCTCAACAAAGTAATCATGTAAGAATGAGATTAACTCATGCATACCCGTGAATGTCTAATTGTGGTATCTTTTTTTTTTTTGGGGGGGGGGGGTCAATGTGAAAAGGGTCAGACATGTTCATGGCATGTGCACAAAGGTATAAATGTGAAAGAGAAGAGAAATTAAAAAAAATACTATCTCTAATTCTTAATATAAGAGTTAATTTGATTTTCAATTTGGTTCTAAATATAAGATCCTCCTATACTTTGCCTGTTCTTCTAGTAATTGCCCATATTAAAA